AGCGGCTGCCGCATGCCCTGCGCGCTCTGGGCCTGCAGGTGCGCGTGCTGCTGTTGCGGCTGCTGGCCGGGCGGGGGCAGCGGCGGCTGCGACTGCGACTGGGCCGGGTGGGCGCCACTCGGCTGCTGAGGGTGCAAAGGGTGCTGGGAAGACGGCGGCTGCTGCTGCTGCTGCTGCAGCTGGCCGGCTGGGGACGAGGCCCCGCCCTTCTGCAAGGGCTGATGGGACGTGGGTGGGCCGGGCGGCTGGGGCCCCCCCTGGGAGTAAGGATAGGGTGGCAGCTTGCTGGTGTCTAACGGGACCCCCTGCAAGCACAGAATAAAGAATTGATGACAGTGTTTCTTCCCTGAAATGTGGAGTTGTTTCCTTGGCATCCTGCCATCCCCAGTGTATTCCACAAACGAGATTTTTGAGAAAACAAAGAAAGCAGAACTATAACAGAAGAACTATACCATCAGAATTGTGAGAAAACTAAGATAACTATTAACACCGTTCTCGGAAACAGCCACGGCAGTGATTTTGGACAACTGACAGGGAATTTTAGATTTGTTCCAAAAGTTTCATACCCAAGTCTGCAGTGACTAGAAAGCAAATGTTAAGGTGAAAGATTTGGGCTAATCTAGCCAAGCTGAGTGGCTGTGTTGTAAACAAGCACACTTCAGGATCTTACAGGACAGAGAACAGCGTAATCAGATCACAGCAAGGAGGAGACGCCAGATTGTAGTATATGTGCTGCCGAAGCAAGAAGACACAAGATACCAGTGATGAATTTACCTGTGTTATGGATGACAGCGTCGGAGAGATGGTGGGTGAGAACTGCTTGACGTGATGCCTCCTGGAGTCCCCTCCCATTGGGAGAATCAGGGGGCTGAGCTGGGCCCGTCTCCGCGGAGACGTGCTGAGTGACAGCTGCTGCTGGCCACTCATGGGCGGAGTGTAGGAGGAGGAGGAGGAGGAGGAGGAGGAGGCGGAGGAGCCCACCCCGCTGCTGTAGCTGGGGTTGCTGGCTGACGATTGGATGGACTGGCCGCTGAGGGAGGAGTTGCTCAGAGACGACTGCAGGGATTGGTTGCTGAACGAGGACTGCAGGGAAGGGGAGGAGCTGAGGGAGGACTGCAGGGACGGGTTGCTAAGCGACGAGTGCAGGGAGGCGGAGCTCAGGGAGGACTGGAAGGAGTGGCTGCTAAGCGAGGACTGGATGTTGGGGTTGCTTAGCGATGACTGGAGGGTGGGGTTACTGAGGTTGCCCTGAAGGGACGATGACAACACTGACAGGAAACAGAAAAAATAAAAAAATACGTAATGTTATAAAACATTAGAGTAAAACATATTGCCTTTACATCACAATTCTGGTGTCAAGTATCACCCCCACAGCGGGCGTGTCTGGGACAGTGTCACCCTCCCCTGTGTTGCAAAAAACACTTAAAAAAAGTCAGCAAGCAGATCAGTCACAGGCAACAATTAACACTGGGGATGAAGGGCCCAGCAGAAAATAAAAACAAGCAGACCAAGCAGTACTCCAGGACCAGGACTGAGATCCACTGGAACAGAAAACAACTGCTGATTAAAACTTGAAAAAACAGAGCACCACCAGCATGCCAGCATAAGCCTACTAATAGATCTCTCCCCCACGGTGAAAGTTTCAACCCTACACAAACCAACCCTGTTCAATTTCATTGCACTTTCGCTTGCAATAGATAATCAACACTTATTTTTTTAAGACAATAATCGGCACAGTGGGTTTTAAAAGAATGATGTCACTTAATTATTGAAATACAAATGCTTGCTGTATTGTTGTTAACAAGCCTACTGCCTCACAGGCCCAGACCCTCTCCTGGTTAGCAGTGTTCAGCAGAATGAGTGCACAAAACTCCCACGGACCCCCCTGCACAGAAAACCACAGGCCTGCAGCAGAGCTGGGGTCTCAGCTGCAGCATCGACAGAACAAAACAGGTGGACCACAACCAGCCAGACAGCTTCCTGGCCATATCCGCAAGTTAACCCCCCACCCCGTCACCTCTTAATAAGAGCGACAACCAGGCAGACGCAAGCAGACAGCCTCTCGGGTCGACAGCGAGGAAGTGGACAGATGAAGCATGTCTTAGCAGACCAAACAACAGGGGGTAAAAACCACCAAAATGGGAAGAGAGACGTCATCGGTTGGACTGTGAAATGACAACCCTCCCCCCCCACCCCCAAAATAAAACACACCACGAACACCAGCCGCTGAAGAACGCCCCCTCGCTTCTGAAGGACTTCCGATTTCTGACCCTGAAAGCGCCTCGCCGAATGGCGCAGATGTCAAGCCTGAAGCGAGAAGGAGCAGCTTCCTGTGCGGTGAACCACAGCAGCCTCGCGAGCGGAAGGCGGGGACAGGCCTTTTCCATTCTGCGAGACCGAAAAACAACAACGCCGGCCCAGAGCACAGCTCCCGTCAGCTACGTCTCCAACACCCCTGACCGAGCGGCTCTGGGGTACTTCTCCAGCGCGGCCTTTACTGTCCCAGTACCTCACTTTGTGCCAACGGTGGCCGGGCCTGATCATCCAGCCCCACCTGGACAATGTAGAATTTATTCACAGCTGGGACCCGATCCACTGTCTCAGGGGCATCTCCTTTCCTTGTCCCTTGACCCAAAGCTGGACCGCGCCCACAGATGGGAGAGTCGGTCAGTTTTGCCCTTTCAGTCTTTAGACCGCCCCCTTACTGGCTGACTTCCAATTAGGCTAAAACATAAAATACAAAACTCAGCTCATGGGTGGACTTAAACATGATTATGTCTGTAGATCAAATTTAAAAGCACGAGTGTCCTGGATTCTCCAAATGGAAATACCCCTTCAGCAGAGCCAGAGGTAGGGGTGGGGCTACCGGAGCTCTTCTGGGTCCTGAGGTGACAGTTTCACCTCTGATTGGCTGGGGTGCCTGCCACGCTGCGGTGATGTCATTGAGGGTTTCCCCGCCCCCTCCAATTGGAGTTGCCTCTCCTGCCAGGCGCTGTGGAGCCTGTCTAAATGCCAACAGCCCTGACAGCTGTCGAAGAGGTGCTCTCTCAAGAGTGGCAGAAAAACGTCAAAAGCCAAACTGGGTGGGTAAACAGCCCACAAATTCCAAATTCAAAGAAATAAAAAAAAATACACAAAGACTAGTGACGGCATTCCAAATGCAAAAGTGCTAAAAAAGTGGGAAGATTACAGGGGGATTGGATTCAGGTAGTCAAATCCCTGGAAGGCACTTGACCACGTCAAGCCCAAACATACGGGAAGGAGAGGTGGAGACTTTGTTTTTCACGCAGACCGAAAGCAATGCAGGCCCTTACAGGAAACGCCACCATAGCACTGACAGACCAGTGATGAATCAGTTAGCCACAAGCAACCACAGAGTCACAAAGGGACAAATAGCCTCCTCTGCCTCGCTTCTCAATGGATCTCAGCAAATCAGGTAACCGAATCCAGACACCTACAGCCAATGGCGCAAACAGCTTCCTCTTTCCTAAACACATTTTTAGCTCTTAACGTCCTGCGATTCCCACGCCAGGTTTGTAGGCGTTGGCCCTTCCTCAGATGCTCAGAGGGAACCCGTGGGTGTTGACTTTTAATCATCTGCATCCTCTCCTGTGTGCTTGCTTGGGCTGAAAGACCTTTACCTGGAGAGTGGTAGGCGCCCCCCGGGTTGATGCCCAGCTGGGTGAGGGTGCTGGCCAGGTTGCCCGTGCTGCTGCCCCCGCTCAGGGAGGGGAAGGGGGGCTCCTCGGGGTCCAGCGGGGTGGGCAGCGGGG